GTTTAACATTGTACTTAGTTGGATGACCGAGAAGCAGTTTATACTTGTATACTCTTTGGAGTGAGGGGATACAGTTTATACTCGTGCACCCACTGGAGTTGGGGAAAGCAGTTTATACTCGTGTATCCGATGGAGTAGTGGAATACAGTTTATACTCGTGCACCCGCTGGAGTTGGGGAAAACAGTTTATACTCGTGTATCCGATGGAGTAATATGGTCGTCTTTACTCGACTTCTTTGGCCGTTATGACGCCGGAGTCAATTAAGGCTTGGATTTTGTTTTTGAGTCCAAAGCAAATTTCGGTGGGATGAAGAATCCTTCTGTGGTACGCACAGTAATTTGGATCCGTAATCATCTTAGCTCCATCCTGATCTTTAATAGGTGGTAGCTCGATTTTGTCATTAGCGAGGAGGTATTCCAATATGGCTGGAGCTTCATCCTCTTCGAATGAATATTCTTTTTGAAACTTCGGATCGAAAGTTGCGTTCCCAATGATTGCAGATGTCATTTGTTGGCCTTTCTCAGCTTCCTTTCTTTTAAGAAAGTGTTCAGCTTGTTCGCCACGAAATTTTAACTCCTTCCAAGTTGTGGACGGCTCAACCCCCAAAGCTTCCAAGACATCGATGGAGAGGTTATTGTGGCATGTTTGCAGGATGAACTCCTCTGTAATAGGATCTCTGCAATTCATCGCCATGTTACGGAAACGCTTGACAAAATTGTCGACTGACTCTCCGTCTTTTTGCTTCTCATCCAAAAGAGTTCCGATTGACACTTCGGTGTCATCATCGAAGAAGTTGCTGAGGAACAAACTTTCCATGTCATCCCAGCAATTGATGCTCCCTGGCTTGAGCCGTCGGTACCAATCGAAGGCGGGCCCACGAAGGGTGCCAACGAATGACCGGATCATTAAGGCCTCGTTTCCAGAGATTATGCCCAAATGAGACTTGAAATAAATCAAGTGTTGAATCGGCGAACTCTTCCCTTCAAACGGTGTGAAGTTAATCAGATTGAATTTGGTCGGGTATGGTATTGAATCCCATTCCCTCGGATAAGGACATGGAATACCCGTCTTCTTAACTTCTTGAGCCGTCATCAAAGCATTGATTTTGTCTTCAAGTTTTTGCATTTTCCCGTCATCGTCTTCATTTCTTTCTGAATGATGTCGAGTAAAGATAATTGGACCACCCCCAGTGAGAGGTGCTATTGAACCACCCCCAATATCGTTATTGGGAGGATCCGTTAAACCACCCCCAGCGTTATTGTCATTGGGAGGTGTATCAGCCATAATGACTTCATCCACCTCTGGATCACTGTCCTCTACAACATTCCGAGTGTGGTGGCTGGATTCAAGTTGCTGATTGGACTCAGGAGGTTGAGGCTGTTGAGTTAACAGTTCTCTCATTTGTTGGATAGCCAACTTCATTTCTGTCTTCACTTCAGCTCTAATTTCTTCACGTTGTTTGGCTAGAGCTTCCTGAAGTATTTGAGTGAACTGATCAGCAGTGATTGTGAATACTTCTCTGATTTGTCCTGTGCTAGACATTGTATCATCAGAAGCGATTGCAGAATAAGTGTCCGAGAATTCATCCTCCGAGGACATTCCTTCTTGCATTCTCTTGTAGTCTCTGCGTCTGATAGCTCCTAATTGGAGTCGAGACATCCTTTGAGCAATTCTTGGATTGACTTTTCCTTTCGGGGAAAAGTCGGGATTTGAGTCACTTGAATGCTGTTTAGACTTTCTTCTATCAGCTACGTTGATGGTGACTTCAGGGAATTCATCATTTTGGGCAGCTGATTTTCTTTTGCGGAAATGTCTCAGCTTAGGCTTTGATAATGCAGAGACTTTTCGTGGGATGATTTCTCGTTTGAAACAGTCACATTCTGATAATGCTGTTTTGACGAGTCGTGCACAGGAACAACGAGAGTTTATCTCTCGAATAACTCTCTTTCGAAAATTATTCACAACTTCAACTTGATAATACGATTCATCGGTATGATTGCCAA